ACCGTTTTTTTTCCCGGCAACTGGTTGGGGTTAGGGCCACTAATTAAATGAGTCCTCAACCGTGTGATTAATTGTGCAGTTTGCACGGGTGATGGAAATCTATGGAGACACATGGAACTCGGACGCGGCTTATGGACTGCGGCACTGAGGGTCTGATGGTCTGAGGGTCTGAGGGTCTTTGCTCTGGGCTCTAAGGCTGGACAGCTGTCAGGACATCAAAGTGACAATTTGAGTGACTTTGGCCCTGGAAGTGGCTCATTTAAAATGCGCTGAAACAAAAGGACACTTTGGCTGGCAGCACAATGACAGGTCGGCCCTACTCCTACCCCTCCACATTAGCAGCTCCCATGTAGTGCATATTCGTATATATTTTTATAATTTATCTATTATGCATGAGGGCGCCAGCGTTGCCGGAAACCCTTTGGCTGTCAGCACACTTCAAGCAGGAGTGACACATGAGGCGAGCTGCTGTGGTCCTTTGCTGCCGCACAATCTGTTGACCAACTGCAAATCTCAGTGAAAAGTTTTGCCTGACTTTGCATTAGCCGCGCATTAAAAATGCACGGAACCAAACGGAGAAGGATCAAGGACCAGCGGACCATCGGACCCAGGCTGGGCGACACACAATTTACCTGGGCGGACACCCTTTCCGAGCCTGGCAACCACCCAGCCACCCCGTACACCCTCCCAGCCGCTCAGCATTTTGCGGCACTTGTCGTGGCCTGTCGGAAAACTGTCACTCAATTGTAATTAACACCGGCAAGGGGGGTTTGGCAGGGGCAGAGAGACCTTTTTACCATTTTAAGCCGAAAGTTGATTTTTCAGTGGGATTCAACGTGTCCTGCCCCTCCCACCACACTCTGCCACACAGAAAAAACAACAAATTGGGACAGGGAAAACAAGGAGAAGGACATCTAAGGACAATTAACATTTCAAATTTCAAATCTGTTTTCTGTTTTCGAAAGTCTCTTTTGCTGTTACTTCTTGTTGCAATTACGAAAATTGTTTATCGGGCGGCAAAACTTTTCTCGCGCATTAATTATGCAGCAGCCGAAGATGAACTTTAATTGCCAAACGATCTTTGGGACTGTTGTTGGATGATAATAATAAATTCATGATATTTGTGGGTTCTTTTTTGAGTTGGGACTTCCATTTCGATGTGGGCCAAAGTACGCACAGACAGAGGTCAAAGGTTAAGCTGTCTTTCGACTAATTGAATGTATTTGTAATTGAACTTTCACGTTTGACATGGAATTTTCCGTGTTATGGATTGGAAAGTGGGGCTCATGTTTCTACACTGGAAATCCATTAAAAATCTCCAATTAAAGTTTAAAAACTAAATCAAAATATTCTTTGCTTTGATTAAATGTTTATTTAACTTGCAACCTAAAGCTAAACAAGTCCGTAAACCAACTGCAAACTATGTTCAATCCCCTCCCTTGTCAGTTTCCAACTCAAACCAAAGACTAAAACGACAAACTTTGAGGCACAAGCAACAAAAACCACAGCGCGAAACAATTAAGAAATAAAGCGGCAAACCCAAACCGAGCACAACACGAATTGACAGCTTCGTCGATAGCCATCTATCTCGCTCTCTCTCTCTCTCTGTCTCACTTTCTATATACACTCGCGCGAGGCATGCGCATTGGTTGGCCAAAGTGCAGACCAATGGGAGAGCAGCACCACAAGCGGAGCTAAAAAACCGAAATAAAACTACATACAACAGGAGGAGTGGGGCCAGGGAAAAGTTGACTGGAGGCTAAACTAGTGAAAAGTGATTTTTTAATTGTCTTTATAGTTTTACGGGGAATGCCGGTGGAGAGGGTTTTTGGACATTACTCTCTGCCGTTGACAGTTCGAAACACCATCCAAAACCTCATACTTTTTTTTTTGGACTGGCACTTTGTTTCGGGCTGCCTGCCTGACCGCCCCTGCCCCGAATATCACAGGCTGCCGTTGCATGCATAATTAATTTGGCTTTTAGTGATGCGTTGGCTGCAGCTCTCTTCCTGGGCCAGGACTCTTCTGTTCTGTTCTGTTCTGTTCTGTTCTGCCCTCTGTTGTGCTCTCCTGTCCTGTCCTTTCCTCTGCTGTCAGAATCTGCGTGTGTACGGATTTATTTTTGCAACATTTCCGTTTGCCACATTGACGGGGCCGCGCTAATGGCTTAAACGTGTTTTTCACCATTTTGCTTTCTTTTTATTTTGTTGCTGCTGATTTCCTTCGTGACATTTGGCGTCATTCAAAACTTTTTTTGCCCAAACGTTTCTTGTACTCTTGTTTCGATTGTGGTCATGTTTTTCGGCACGAATTGCCAACAGAATAATGTCAATTGACATTTACACGAAAATAGGTTGAAAGAGCTAAGCTGTGCCCCGAAATTATTGCCTCAAATTGAACCCAAACATATGGAGGGTGTGTGGAAGCGATGGAGGTGCCCTTTCTATTGAGAATTTTACATTTTAGCGCAGCGAGAGATTCGCATTCTTGAGAAGTAGACAAAATGTGAAGCTAATTTACTATGACAATAAAAGTACTTTTAATATTTAACAACAATTGTTGACCTCGTTTTTAGTAACCAAAATGGTTTTCTTGAGCTTAGTTCTTTGGTAGATTTTAAAACCTCTTCTGTCTGCTTTGATTATCATTATTCGTGATTGTCAATTCGGACATCAATTTCTGCATTCTTTGCAATGAAAATATCACTTTTCTTCTATTAACTTTAACCTTTCCTGTCAGTGTCCAATCCTCCAAGAGTTTTATCCTCAAATTGAATAAATACAACAAAGAAAAGCGCTTAAGAAGCAAAGTAAACTGGACAAGTGTCGCCTCATCAGCTGACATTTTAGTTAAATTACCTTTTTTTGTGTGCAAATAAATTATTTATAAAAAGGTATCAACGCCTCCTCAACCCCCACCTCTCCTTTTCCGTTCCCATTAGGAGCCCCAGAACTCGAGCCACAACACCATGCTCCGCCTTTTGGCAGTCCCTCCCTCCACGTGCTTGCTGCTCGAGTATATAACGGCACCAACACCAATGCCCGCTCTCGCTCTCGCTCTGGCTCTGTGTCGCACGCTTCGTCTCGCTCTGTTCGCAGTGTGTGGTGCTTATGTGAAGCGCTCTTCAGCTTGCTCTCTCTCACACTCTCACTGCCGTTGCACTCCTCTCCTCTGCCAACAGTGTCTGTGTGCTTGTGTATGGGGGTGGGGTGGGGGCGCCATTTAAATTGCTTTCTCTGTTGCTTCTCATTTGTCGTGACGACAGCGACGCCGACCGACGCCTTGTTTTGCCTCGAACGAATGTGTGTGAGAATCCCAAAAGGCACACACACAGAGACGCACGAGAACCAGTTCGCCTAGTTATCGCATTTTATAGGCGTTTTGGTCGGCGACGACGACAACGACAACGACAACGACGCCCGCTGCTCTCGCTTCGGCCTTTTGGTCGGTCGCTCGGTGGCCCAGAGACCAGAAAAAAACCAAACCAGACCTGGGGCCCCGGCTCTGTCGCGGCTCTGATTTTAGTACAATTTTGGTGCTCGCGGCAATTGGACGTCCTTCGTGGTGCGTCGGCGCGACAAACAAACACAGCAAAATATAACCACAAAAGCAACAACAAGCGAGTCCCTCAACAACAACAAACAGTGCGCTGCGATCCTTTGGTGCCAGCGGAAAAGTCATTAACATTTAATGCCAAAGAGTGTACCCAATAGTGCCCTCCTGTGAATTGTTAGTGCAAAATTGTTAGTGAAATTGAGTTGAAAATTGATTTGGAACATTTAACGAGATTATGCCATGATATGATGGCCCTCAAAATGCTTTATCGCGGCCCCAGCTCGCGCTTGGAGAATCTAATTGAGAAGATTCAGGCCACCAAGGAGATCACAAATAACGGTAAATTTACGGAGCTTTTTGAAGGTGAAGAGGGGAAGCTAAAGGCCATGTGCAGGGGAATTCCATTGTTAGGCTCTTGCTGTGATCTTTCCACGATTGAATACTGCAGAAAATAATGAGATTATACTAATGGATTAGTTGATATTTGGATTCGTAAACTGAAGTCTTAGGTACAACCTCCAGGGAATAGATAATCATAAATTTATCTGTGCCAAAAAGTACCCAAACAATTAGTTAAATTATTCGAAGCTACCTGTCATATGCCGACGGGGTTTTGTCACTTTGATTGCATGCAAAAATAATGATAATTGATTATTAGGGACACACAAATCATAGACAAATCTTTTCCCATCTTTGGACCAATCTGCGCTCAACCTCTTTGACATTTCACTTTCCATGAACTCAGACAAAACACAAACAGCACTTCAATCAAAAGAAATGAAATGAATCAAGTGAATGGGCTCAAAATCTCTTACAACTTTCTTTAGCCCCAAATAAGGAGAAGATCTGGAGAAATGAATCCCGTGCAGCAGTTTGATGTTTCCCAATTAAAGTTTGGATCAGAGTTGGTTCAGAGTTCAAGCGATGCGAGGGAAAACAAATGCAGTCCCTGACCGACCCATAGATACGTTCTACACATGTATGAATAGTTCCCGGCCAGAGATCACTTGCAATTGGGTTCAATTAACAGTTTTTGAAGACGACAGGCAGCACTTGGCGCGTGGTGGCGCGTAGATGATGAGACCGGGAGACCCTCATGGGGCAGGCAGTGAATTAAGTGGATGGTGTAGCCTGTAATTAAAACAACGACAAGAACAAAGCGCAATTAGTTTGCATGAGACTCACTTACAGAGAGCCAGAGGGGAGGCACTGGGAGAGATGATCCCCCAGTTGTGTGGGGTGGGACTGACCGACACTGACACCGACACCGACACCGACACCAACCGATGAGCTGCTAATTGAATTAATTCCGTGTCCAGCATTTGATAGCCGACGTTGATTTCCTGTCCGTCGCTGTGTGCCGATCCCACAGTGCCGCTAATCAGGATGCAGTCGCCCACACAACTTCTAATTGAGATCTCTCTGTCTTTCATTTCCCTTTCCAGACATGTACAGTACCCACACCTCGTCCAGCTACTCGCCGAGCATCTCCGATGGTACGATGACACCCAATGCCCATCATCTGGCGGCTGCCTCAGCGAATGCTTTACAGGAGGATCTCCACCTTCCGACTGATGGCAAGTCCAACGGCGTGCCCGGAGCGGAGGAGCCTGCCAAGCCTGCGAAGCGACAGCCGCACTTCCATCATCACCATCATCACTACCATCACCAGCAGGCCCTGAAGATTGCCAACAAGCTGCGCAAAATCAATAAGGAGGCCAAGCTGGCAGCCGCCGGAGGAGCAGGCGCTGGAGCCGGAGCAGGAACTGGCGGTGGCGGTGGTGCAGCCGCAAAGTTTGATAAGTTGACAGGCGAAGGCATTAAGAGTCGCGGCGACGGCTCCTATCAGTGCCAGTTCTGTGATAAGACATTTCCCCGTCTCGGCTACCTGAAGCATCACGTGCAGGTGAGTGTCTCTAGCCCACGAAAAAGGGTTCCTTCTAGCCTTCCACCCTTCCTGTCTGCCTTGGGTGGCCTTGGGGGATGTTGCTTAATTACGGTCTTGCCATCGCATTGAGGCCATAAGGCGCTTAGCACTTGCCGCTTGTTCGGGTTGCGGTTGGCTGATTGACACTTAGGTGACAGTCGACGCCCCGACAAGCTTGAACTTTGTTGCAACATTTCGGGATTTGCTAATTGAAATTGAATTTCAATTGAAAGTGGAGCAAGCCATTAAAGAGGGTTAGTGCTTCGTACACTTAAAGGTTTCACTTAGAACCATTCCGTGCCATCCATCTAACATTCCTTTGGGTTAATCTTTTGGCTTAACATCTAAGACCGATGCTTGCGGTGTGGCTTTGTGGCTCACCCACACGCCGCCCTGACTCACCTCTCTCCTCGAGTGGCTCTTGGCGGACACCGCCCATGACATCAGCAACTGGTTAGCCCAATTGCAACTGCTGTTTAGGCAGATCTTTATCGTCGTCAGCGGGCAGGGTCTAACATGTAGCGCTGCTCACTTTGATCCTAGCGCCTGGACATGGGTTTTGGGGCAGAATTGGGGTTCAGAATTCGGTCTTCGGGCCATTCTCGCACGTTCTCTGGCGAAGGGAGGTGTATGGGGTTGATGATGCGAGCGACAGTTTAAAAAACGATAACCAACACGAGAATAAGGCTGCCGCTCGCTCTCTTTGGATGCCACTAACTCGGCTAAACTGTATCTGTGTATCTGTGTATCTGTGTATCTGTGTTTGTGCAATCCCAAACTGGGGGGCTGCATACAAATGGGCTCATTTTTTGTTGTTGCTGCCAGTTCAAAGCGCTCCACCGCCAAGCGCTGCTTTGGCAGCCGCCAAAGAACCCCAAAAGTAAACCGGTTGCGGGTGTAAGACCTCCTCCCGCCCCCCCTGTACCACCCCGCACAACGTGGCGTCGCGCATTTAGATGAATTTTTGTCCACAAGCCACAAGTCGCACAGGGAAACAAAACACCTACGGCAGTCGCTCTCTCTCCCTCTCAGAAGCAGAACGAGCAGAGTCCAAGTCCGAGGCAGATTCATATGCAGATTGACGCATCTATAAATTCAAGCGAGGGGACAACTGTGGTAGACAGCCGGGGACAGTTGACGACAGGCAGGGATTGTCTTCTAAGAATTTCAAATCAGCTCCAACGTCTGGGCCAGTGTCTGGGGTAGCCAAGACTTGCACTTGTTCCTAGTTGGCACCAAAACTAATCGGGTTTCCCAACTGAATCTTTTCGCAGAGCCATGCCGAGCACTTGCCCTTCAAGTGCGAGTACTGCGCCAAGCTGTTCAAGCACAAGCGATCCCGGGATCGCCACAAGAAGCTGCACACCAACGAGCGGAACTACAAGTGTCCACACTGCGAGGCAGCCTTCTCCAGGAGGTAAGTTGTGAGGCCCCGCCATAACCATAGCCCAACCCCAACTTTATGGCCACATATTTCCTTTTGCCTGTTGATTAGCGATCACCTGAAGATCCACATGAAGACGCACGACATACAGAAACCCTTCCAGTGCAGCATGTGCAACAGAGGCTACAACACGGCTGCGGCACTCACCTCGCACATGCAGAAGCACAAGAAGAATGCCGCCATACTGGCAGCCGGCGGCAATCCCAATGCCCTCAACTATAGTCCCAGGTCCACGGGCTCCGCCTCAGCGTCCGTGTCCAGCAACGGGAGCCTGCACAAGCGGCGCTACGCGCTGGCTCTGGCCACCGACAGCAGTCCCAGTCGGCTGGACTTTCCCAAGAGATCGCGCAGCAGCCATGTGCCCACACCCACGCCGCTGCTGCGCTGCAGCTACTGCCCCAAGGTGACAGAGTTCAGCAGCCTCGAGCAGCTGAATGCACATCTCCAGGGTGTCCACGAGCAGCAGCAGCAGCAGCAGCAGCAGTCCCAGCAGGAGCGACAGCCATCGGCAAAGGGCAATCCCGTGCAGGAGGCAGACACCTTCCAGCTGAGCTGCGAATATTGCACCATGAAGTTCGGCAACATTGCCGGCCTCTTCCAGCACATGCGCGCCACCCACTTGGATCGTCTGAGCAGCCCCAACTCCTACTACGAGCACTTCAATCGCCTGGCCACCGCGGGCACCTTCAGCCCGAGACTGGCGCTGGATTTGCCCAAGATCAAGCCGGATCTGGGCAGCCCGGAGCGAGAGAACCGAGCCTCGGAGGAGGACCTGCCCACGGATCTGAGCAGCAACAAGCGCAGACCGCAGACACCAGCCAACAATCCTGCGCCCCATCCTCCTCCGCAGGCACCTCCTGGCATCTTCTTCTGCAACCAGTGCAACGCGGGCCTGCCCGACTTTGAGAGTTTCCGCAATCATCTGAAGAGTCACATAGCCGAGGGCATGCAGCTGGTCTGTCCCCACTGCGGGCTGAGTCTGCCGGAGCAGTCGGACTTCGAGCGGCACGTCGTGGGGCACTTCCTCATCGCCAGCGCCGAGTTCAACTGCGGCTCCAGCTGTGGCAAGAGCTTCGGCAAGGCGGAGGAGCTGCAGCAGCACCTCATCGCCGAGCATGTCCTCACGCTGCTGAAGTGCGCCCTCTGCTCGGAGGTGTGCGACACGCGCATGGCCATGCAGCTCCATCTGGCCTGTGCCCACAGCCAGGAAACGAAGCTGCTGCGCTGCAGCGCCTGCATGGAGGTCTTCCGCTCCGACGGGGACTTCCATGTGCATGTCAAGACGCGCCACCAGCTGGGCGGCGGCCATCATCATCACCAGCAGCAGCAGCAGCAGCACCCACACCAGCATCATCCAGCATCCAATCCGTTGCAGTGCATGTTCTGCCGTGCCGTTTGCTCCTCCGAGCTGGAGATGCACTTCCATTTGGCGGCGCATGCGCGACAGTTCCGCTGCCCCTCCTGCCCGGAGACCTTCCACGTGGAGTTTCTGCTGGACAGGCACATGCAGAGCCAGCATGGGGGAGCCAAGGACAAGGAGCAGGCCCAGTCCCAATCCCAGAGCTCACCGAACATGGGCAGCCTCTATGTGAACGCGCTGCTGCCACCGCTCGCAGCAGCTGCCGCAGCCGCAGCTGCCACCAACAACAACAGCAGCATCATCGACTACAACGTGGCCTTCAAGGGATTGTTCGGGGGAGGATCGACAGCCGGAGGCAGTGCACCCACTGGGTCCAAGTTCTACAGCCCGCTGCAGGTGGACACGAAGGCACAAACCTCGCCACATCCCGCCCTGATGTACGGCCTCAGCCAGCGCTATCTGATGGAGATGTACGCCGCCAAGTCCACGTCGCCGGTGAACAGCAACGCCAACGAATCAGCAGGAGGAGGACCTGGAGCTGCTGCTCCTCCACCAGCAACACAAGCGCCTGCGCCGCAAGCCACTCCAGCTGCCACCTTCAGCTGCGGCATGTGCGAGCGGCAGGATCTGCGCAGCGAGGCGGAACTCCACTCGCACCGGAAGCTGGCCCACAACCTCAAGACCGGCGTCAGTCTGCGCTGCGCCTACTGTGCGGGCAACTTCAAGTCGCGGGCCGAGCTGGAGCAGCACATGAAGAGCTGCCACAACTCGACGGGCAAGCACAAGTGCCTCATCTGCGACGAGATCTTCCCCTCGCCGGCCATCCTCGCGGAGCACAAGCTGCAGCACTCGAAGGTGGGGCAGTCGGGCAAGTGCGCCCACTGCAGCCATCCGCTGGAGGATGTCGCCGCCTTCCGGGCCCACCTCAGCGAACATGGCAGCGACGGGGCCTCACTGCCGCTGGCCTGCATCTGCTGTCGCCAGACCCTGCACTCGGAGTTCGAGCTGAGTCTCCATGCCAAGTTCCACACAAAGTCCGCGTCCAGCGGCGGCAGCCTGCAGGAGCCAGTCTGCGCCCTCTGCCTGGAGCCCCTGCCTGGTGCAGTGGAGGGTCCCACCACTCCGGCGAAGCTCTGCGAGAAGTGCTGCCGCAAGCACAACCTCAACGGCAAGCGGAGCAAGGGCAGCGAGGCGCCCGTGCTTCAGGCTCCTCCACCGGCGGCGCCCTACCTGGAGAACCGCTGCAACCTGTGCAAGATGATCCTGCCACACGCCCAGAAGCTGCAGGAGCACCTCGTGGAGCACACCTTTGCGGGCACCGAGCAGCGCGGCTACAACTGCTACATCTGCTCGGCTGTGTTTACGGCACCCGGCGGCCTCCTCGGCCACATGGCGGAGCACGGCGCCCACTCGCGGCCCTACGACTGCAGCATTTGCCCCGAGAAGTTCTACTTCCGCGCCGAGCTGGAGCACCACCAGCGGGCACACGAGCTGCGTCCGGCGGTGCATCGTCCAGCGTTGGCCAAGCCAGAGCCTCCGCTGCGACGCAGCGCCTCGCCCAGTCCGAGTCCGAGTCCCGTGCGAAGTCCCACGACCGTCAAGCAGGAGCTCTACGACTCGGATACGGCGCACTCGGCTGGCGATCAGCCAGAGCCCGCTGCGGAGGAGGAGGAGTACATAGAGGTGGAGCAGATGCCACACGAGACGCGGCCCAGGGATGTCATGTCACAGCTGGAGAGGGCCACAAACAGCGCCTGAGGAAGGACTTCAAGGAAGAAGAGCTCAAGTATTGCCAGAGTATTTCCCACATTTAAATCTTAGATCTTGCCCCCACACACACACACACACACACACACAGAGAGAAAGTGGAACACAGTTTAGTATTAATCGCATAAACAATAAATACCACACGATATATACTTACTCCATAGATTCTAATGTCTCTTAAATACCATAAGTAAACGTACACAAAATATTACTATAATTATTATTATTAAATTCTATGACATATATTACACAATTAATCGTAGAAATTCTTGACAACAAACCCATTCTTTGTGTGTGATAGTTTTATCAAAGATTGCCCATGCATTCCGTTTGTTTTGCTATTTATGGAACCCTTTAAGAGATTTTATTTAATGTTCTTTTGTATGTTATTAGAGGAGCGGTGGCCCTGCCTACGTATTTCAGTATTTATATGCAACGAATAATTCAATAAATGTAACTAAAATGTATCTTAAACATAAACACAAGAACGGATTAAATACTTTAACTTATATAAGCACCAAACAACACTTTTAATGTGTAGCATAAAAAGAACAAAAAGCAAACGACAGAAAATGATTTAGTGAATAAAACAACAACAAAAGTTGAAGAGAAGAAGTTCCAAAATACTTTATGTCTTTCCCGGGAAGCTTCGTTCGGGGCGTAGGGAAAATCTGATAAGAAAATCTTGTGCCGAGCGGGCTCCTAGTCGTCGGGCCGCACTTTTTTTATGGAAGCTGACAACATGACGCGACCGCGTGAGGGGTCTGGACTGGGTCTGTCTCGCGAGAGCTGCTCCAAGTCCAAAATTTTATGGCGAATATTTCGTTTCTGGTTTATTTCGGCAAGCGCGACACGTAATGGCAATAAAAAAGGTGCGCAACAGGCGCAACCTGACGGCGACGCTCTGGCTCGGCTCGGCTCGGGGTTTATGGAGTTTTTGGGGGGTGGGGCAGGGGCAGCAACAAATTGGCATCTCAGTTGGGTGATCTCTATCTGAGGCTTCAAGACCGGTGGCAATTATACCCGCACCGAACAGATTACCAAGGCGACAACGCTTCTGTTTCTTGGAATGAAATGCAGCAGAAATGCTGGAGCCGATCCAACTTGGATTTGGAGTTGGCAGTGGCTTGGTCGCTCCGCTGTCTAATCTGCAGCAGCACCTCCTGCTTCTCGGAAGCAATTGCAAATAAATCGCATTTAATAAATTGCAGCGGCAAAAAGGCACCGACCGAGAGCGGCCTGTGCACCTGTCCTGTCCCTGTCGTAGTCCAGTGCCTGTCGGCGGCAATCATCACAAATCAATAAAAATGTTTATCATCGAAACAATTGGTCCAGCTTCAGCTTCAGCTTCAGCTCTAGCTACAATTCCAGTGGCAATGCAACTCTCCTGTGCGGCACAGCACTCCACGCTGCTCCAAAGCCGCACCGGCAGTTGTTAATTAGCGCCATGCCACACATGCCAAGGTGTCCGGTGGAAAACAGCGACACAAACACAGACGGCAGCACATGGAAAAAGGAAAAACAAAACTCGTTGGGCCATTGGCAATCGGAATTGGCATCGAATCGAGTCGAGGAGACTTCATTGATGATCGCGCACTCCACACCAGACCGCCAGGCGCGTCATCCGCTCGAGCCTCTTCCTCTCCAGCTCTCTCCCTCTCCCAGGTGGTTTCTGCGAACTCCTTTTTATGTGTCTTTCTGCCGCTTTAATGTCGTCACCAATATGTCGAAGCCTGAATGTTGATGGAGCTGGAGAAGGCGATGTCGTTGTCGATAAATCTCGTATCAAGTCCACGCGGATCGCTTCGATTCGCATCGCTTTATTTTTGGTATTTCACTTATTTGACGGGTTTTTACACGCTTCCATCAGAAGGGGCCCAACACCACAGTGGAACGACAGATGAGAGCAGCAGAAATGGAACTAAATTAAGGCTACATCTTGGCACATTACGTGAGGAGGGATTTATTTATATTTAATTCATATATTTAATGCTCTTTTTAGCTTCAATTTTCTGTACATTTTCACTGTTTAAATCTCCGACAGAAGTTCAAACATTTGACACCACTGTGCGGCGTTTGAAAGTCTGCTGAGTGACTGACTAACTGACTGACTGACTGACATCCCCACTGTAAGAGGTCGACTGTGGCAAGTGTTGGATTCGTGTGTCCCAGCTCCAACTTGGGGCTGGCATGCGGACAAAAGCATTTTGGAGCCAAGACAGCGTTACATTGACAAATGAAGAAGCTCCCATCAGTCAGAGACCCAAAGAGCAACTTCACACAAAACACCCAAAAAGCAAGTGGCAAATGGATACAAATGATGATCAGTGCATAATAATGGTGTTGCGGGGAGGTCCTATGCTGTGTTGAGGTCCTCGACAATGAGGGGTAAGTGGCTGGTTGTGCGCCAGTGAAATATTTTCGCATGCCTTATTAAACAAAAACAAAAGTGAAAAATCGTTTCGCTGGCAAACAGAGCAAACAAACCCGCCCCTTTGGCAGCGCAAAATGTTTCCTCTTCCGGCCAGAATGCTGTGGCAGAACACTAAGGAACCCACACGGAATGTGGGCCAAACATGCGATTTTTGCGAAAAGGGGAAGCAAGCGAGGGCAAGGGGAGACGGGAGGAGATACATTATATGATATTCATTACCGGCTTATTAGCGTGATTTACCGATTGGGGGAGTGAATGTGGATGTCTAAGGATGTCTAAGGATGTTCGTGCTGATGGTCCTTGATGATGTGTGTGTGTGTGTGTGTGTGTGTGTGGGGTAGCAGCTTGTGTAATGCCTGGGAAAATGACTCTGAAAGCGCCATATCCCATATCCGTTTGTCAATAATGCGATACCGTGCGAATTTTTCAGCTTGATGGATGGCCAAAACAGGATGGAAACTCCTTAAGGCTACCCCCATTCCACGCTGCCCCAATTGATGCTGCTGTCATATGCAAATCATGATTTGGGCCTTAGAGCAAACACTGTTTCAAGTCTTAATGGATTTGGATGTGGATGTGGATATTGCCATTGCCGCGGCGCGAAGAGGGTTCATCTTGGTTCGTGGTTGTCAATTAGCTGTCAACTTCCTGTCTGCAATTGTGGCATTACACATCCACTAATTACCAGATCAGAGAGCGGGAGAGTGAGAGCGAGTGCATCCTCCTCTTCGGTGGCGAGGCGCTAATTCAATTAATAATCTCTCACTCGGAGGGGACACACTCAACACTCGGACACGCGCGCTCACAATTTACACAAATTAAAACTAAACAGTGCCCAGCTCTGCCCTCTCTCCATTCCACTTGGAACTTAATTATGCAATTATTATACAATTTTTCCCTAGTTTGGTTCATTTTTGTACGCTCCTTCGGGTAGGGCACGAGCTGCTGAGGTGCCGAAAGCCCGAAAACCGAAAACAGTTCCAGATACAGTTACAATTACGGGTACATAATCGCTCGGATATGTAAGACATGAGCGAGCGAAAGGCCTTTCCCATTGGCTGCTGGCACATCGAGTGTCTGTGTGTGTGCCTGTAGGTGTTTATGTAGAAGCACCGGATACACGCTACCAAGCAGCAGAGGGAGCCAGCTGGGGCGTGGCATGGGTGGTCTATGTAAATATGTAAACAAATATGTAAATATGCATGCACGTACATATCCACTCGTAGCTCTTGCTCTGTGATACTTCAGTTATTTTCTGGAGTGCATAATCGCAGCTTGCAGTTTTTCAGCTTTCCTTGAACACCTACTCTAGGATTCGCTTCCTTGCACACCCGTGGCACACTCGCTCCATGCCGCAGTAATAGATATTTCCATGCCCCTTATTAGAACGTGATGAACGTGCCGCTATTTGCGCTATGTAAATGGATATCGATAGCTGCTTGGTCTCTGATTGATTGATTGATTGCCATTCAGGGCCGCGCAGGGCAGGGCAGGGCAGGGCAGGCAGCACCAAATATAAACAGCAATCACGAGGAACAAAGGGATTCCTTGGGCTCGATCCTTCTTTCTTCTGTGTTGTTTGCGGGCGGTTTGTTTTCTATGCGCAATTTATAAAGTTGCTGACACAATAATCGGGATCGGGATCGGGATCGGGATACGACAGGATCGGCACCGCATGGCACCTCCGCCTTAAATTCTCGCGAATTAAATTAATAAAGGAGCTGGAGCTGGAGCTGGAGCTAGAGCTGAAGCTGTGCTCCTGCAGCGCACATTCGGAGAGCAGAAAGTATTGTATTACCAGGAGCCGGGATCCGTGAAGAGAGTCCCAAGTTGTGCGCTCGCCTTGATAAGACATTCATAAAAGGTCCTGCTCAAAGACAAAGGACCCTTGGCAGAGCAATTGCCCCAACACACAGAGGCACATTTCCTTGTGCGTGTCCCTCAATTTCTCTTATCACGCCAAACAGATCAAATTTCGAGAGGGAGCCAGACGAGAGACAGCCGAAAAGGAGCCGCTGGGAAAGGATGTGCCAAAGGATGTGCCCCAGTCTCTGTGCGATATTCTTTCTATTCAGCATAGCCAGCGAGGGCGGACAGAAGTCACACAGCAGACAGATTGCATAACAAACGGGCACCAACTGCAGAGAGTTTTGAAATGGTGAAAGTTACATGCAAATTTCGAGGCTTTAGCTCTGAAAAAACTGCAAGAGAAGAGGGAGTCAATGCTCCCTAAGTGGCGCACAGATTGGACGTCTTTTTATATCATTTTAAGCATTACATTATTCAGATGCTGCTTTGTGCCCCTGTGTAAACGTTTCGCCAGAAGTCTGAGACACTGGAACCTTAATTAAATGTTTGTGGCCTGAACTGGAATTGTGTTTGCTGTTCGGTTTGTTGTGTGTTTGAGACTTGTTCTAAGTACGCTCGCTGCCCAGCTGTCAGTGACTGCTTTTATGACCCACACACACAGAGTTTTTGGGCCTCGCAAGATGACAGCGATGGTGGACAGACAGAAAACGGACAAGTTTCACAATTTGCCATCCCATGCCATGGCCCTCCCCCGGTTTTCGTTCATGTCCAGTGTGCGTTTTGACCTCTTGGCGCGTACGTGCCT